TCTGGCCCTCATAAAAAAGTGTTGTGCAGATATGCAGAAAAATGAACCTTTATCTAATGCTGGTTGGTAGGAATATTAACTGGTTCAACCTCTTTGGAAAACAATATGGACACTTCTCAAAAAAAAAAAACCCTAAGAATTGTGCTTTATATTTCAGATATTCTGGTTCTTCGTAACTACCCCAAAGACTCAAAACTGTGTTCCTAAGAGATGTTTATTCTTGTTCATTGAAGCAATGTTCACAGTTGCCAAAAATCTGGAAACAAACCAAATGTTGAACAGATGACTTGGACAAAGAAACTGTAGTATATATACACAATGGAATACTACTTGGCTATAAGAAAAGGTGAACTTCTGTTATTTTCCATTATGTGACTGGATCTGTAGAATGTTGTGCTGAATGAAGTTAATCAGAAGGAGAGGGACAGATACAGAATGGTCTCTCATATGTGGGATATAAAGAAAACTAATATGGGAATAAAAATGACCAAAGGCAACACAACATAAAAACCATTATATAGAAATTATGTTACCAAGGATCTAGGGCTAAGGGTTAGAGTGGGGGACACTAAGACAATGGTGGACAGAAGTGAACACTCTAGTTGAGGATGTGTTGTTGAAATGTTTAATATAGAAAACCCTATTATTAGTATTATCAGTACTGTAAATTATGGTGCCTCAAACAAAATTTTTAAAAAACCACCAATAAGTTAAATAACGTATATAAATTATATTCATTGGTATCAACCATATTATAAATTAAAGGAGGAATTAAAAATTATTTGTTCATGATATGATAAAGTGAAATTTTTATACAGAAATAAGTATATTTTCAAAAACCAGTGAGAGTGATGTTTTAATTTTTGCAATTATCTTTTACTGTTTGGCTTAAAAGAAGGTAATTATTCTCATATCTGCTAATGTATTTGTCCTATTGTGATATAATATTTTTATTAGTTTTGATAAATATACAATTCCATGTAGATAAGTGGTTGAAAAATAAGGAGAATTTTAGCAGTGTTTTTGGACAGTTGTGCTTATTCTTTGGTATTACATCAAAAATCAACAAATGGTAATTAACTTAGGGGATAACTGCACTATAGAAATTGAAGCAGTACCAATAAATTTTCTCAGTTTTGATAAAAGTAACTTAAAATCAACTGGTCTTTATTCATGCTTGATTTTTATAACCCATTTATTGGTCATTTGAAAGACATTGTCTCGCTGAGTTATACAAATTTTCTAAATGTGGACACATTTCATAACACAGTTGATACGAATCACATTCATTAATATCACAGCAGCCTTACCAGAAAAAGCCTTTAAGTATTGGGAAGCTGTCAAGCTCACAGTAGCAGAGATAAATTTTCCAAATTGTAGTTTTTGCTTGTTAACTCGAATTTTATTGTCAGCACACAAATGATGTCAGTTGTTTTCAATGAAGTGAAAAGCCCATTGTTTATTTCAACGAAACAAGTTCCAGAGACCCATCTTAATAACTATAGCTTGTCAGTGTTATTTTTTTTTTAAGTAGATTTTTCTTTTGATTTTTGGCCACACCCAGCTGTGCTCAGGGATTACCCCTGACACTTATTCAGGATTACTCCTGGAAGTGTTCAGGGGACTGGACATATGTAATGCTGTGGTTTGAACTGAAGTCATATGCATGTAATTTTCCCTGTACTCTCTCCCCAGTTATTAAAAGTAGAATTTTTTTTGAAATGTGGAGTTGGATACTTTAAACACTTGCTCATTTATTTATTTGCCCGACTTTTCCTACCTGAAAAAAAAATACAAGTATATTTATGGCTATTCACGAAGTGCTATGTCAGAAAAGGTTGGGTTTCAGGTATGACTCCTGAGAACTCTCAACAAATTACAGTAGTACTTTGCACTGTCCAGAGTATAAAATTTTTAAAAGCAAGTTTAGGTTCTCATAAAAACTATACAGAAATTACAGAGGGACTGAATAGTTAGTATAGTGAGCAGGATGCTTGTCTTATGCAAGACTGATTTGGTTGGATCCCTGGGACCCTATATAATCTCATGAGACACACCAGGAGTGATCTCTGAGTACAGAGCCAGTAGTAAGCCCTGAGCACCAGTGTGTGTGACATCTCTCCAAAAAACACAACAAAGCAAAAACACCAAGAAAAACACAAAAACAAAAGAAGTTACAGAGAAAGGTATAGAGAGTTCCATATACTTTCTTAAGAAAAAAACACTCCTGCATTTAAAAAAAGTAGATTTTTGTACCATTTTTTTATTAATAATAAAAATAATGCTCAAAATGGCTTAAAAATAAGATTCTTATTTTTTTTATTTCTCTAAACCAAAAAATCAACCTTTGAGTTGAATAAATCCATTTATCTTTCATACTTACTAAAGCAAAATAATGACCATTAAAAAGGTGAAATGGCAAGAAAATCATTTAAATAACTAGTTTCCCAATCAATTTGTAAGTTTCTGCTTTTTTTAAAAATAATTTTTTGGTGTTTGAACCATATGTGGCAGTGCTCAGGGAATACATTTGGAAGGGCTTGGGAGACCAGACAGAATGCCACGGAGCAAACCCAGATCAACTGGATGTGAGGCAAACATCCTACTTTCTGTACTCTCTCTCCGGCACCACATTTTTCATATTTAAGAAGAAACTTATTTTAACCAGTTTTTGTCTTTTTGTTGACTTCTTTGCCTATTTTAAACCTCTCTTCCTGGAGTGAAGCTAGTTTAAATAAGTTTACATGAGAAATGTGAACATAAGTGCAAAATATTACTCATAGCCTTAGTGGGGATAAATGAGATTTAGTTCAGTTTCCCTGAGTATTAACCAGAGGAGGAAAGACTAGAACCTAGCAGCATCATTAAGTGAGAAGTTTCTTTTAAAAGGCATTTTTTATATGTAAAATTTAAATATAAGTATGTTTTTTTAAAATTTTTTGTTAGTGAATCACCATGGGGTACTGTCACAGACTTACAAACTTTCGTGTTTGCATTTCAGTCATATAATGATCGAGTACCCATCCCTCTACTAGAGTCCATTCTCCAGTGATCCCAATATCTGTTATCCCACCCCACCCCATCCCCCACACACCATGCCACCTCTGTGGCAGGGCATTCCCTTTTGTTCTCTCTTTCTTTTGGGTGTTGTAGTTTTCACTACAGGCATTGAGTGGCCATTGTGTTCAATCTGTAGTCTACGTTTGGCTCATATCTCCCAACCTGAACTGGTCCTCCAAATACCCTTTACTTGGTGTTCCCGTCTCTATCTGAACTACCTAAAAAGCATTATTGTTGGGAGTAGCCTCTGGATTCTCTGAGCACTGCCAGGGAGTTCTCCAGCCCTATACACAAATACAAAAATATTAAAAATAAAATATTAAAAAGGCATCAGGCTGCTAATGATAAAGTTAATTATTTTTGTAAGCCCCAAAGAAAACAAATCATTTTAGAAAATGGGAATCATTGTAAACAGAAAATTACTGCATTATATAGACATTAAAATATTAAAAGTAAGTTCAGACTTGCTCATCAAATCTGTGTTCTCACTTGAATATGTATCTTGCTTGCTTGTCTCATTGTTTTTTTGCTTGGCTATTTCCACTCTGGAAAAGCCTGTGTTCTTTCTCCAACAAGTAATTTTCTCTTTCTCTACTCCCATAGCTTTCTAAATAAGTTTCAATAAAAACTTTCTTGCTTTAAAAACAGACAAACAAAAAAACCTAAGTAATTTTAGGGGCTAGAGCTATAGTGTAGTGGATAGGAGCTTGCCTTACAGATACTGAAGTCTCTGGTTTGATCCCCAGCACCCCATATGGCCCCCCCAAGCACTGAGAAGAGTTATCCTGATTGCAAAGTTAGGAGTAGGTCTTGAGCACTGATGGTGTGATACCCAAGCTAACCCCCCACTCCACAAAAAAGGGAGAAAGGAAGGAAGGAAGGAATGAATGAAGGAAGGAAAGAAGAAAGGGAGGAAGGAAAGAAGGGAGGAAGGAAGGAATTGTATTCGGAACACCTATTGCATTTTTAGTCAGTTTTGCTTCCCATATCAATTTATTTACTTGTCGGCTTAGGGGTGTGTGAGAAAGACCATGAAAACTCCTTTGGGATATGTGACATTAGGTTGTGCAGTTTCTTACTCTGTCAATTAAACCTAATGGCTCTGTTGAAAAAAAAAAGTTTGGCGTCTCCTCCTCCAGACACAACTAGACCCAAATCTATAAAATCAAAATGTACATGACTCTTCACATGGAGTTATGGGGCAGGATCCCAGAAAGTAACCTCGCAGAGTTTTAGGATGAGTTAGCTTACTAATTTATCACAAGACAAAAGCATTTCATTTAGACATCGGCAATATACACATTAAAAAATTATAAACCAAATGTTGATGACAATATAAGATTGGAAAGAAATTGCTCTGAAATAAATGGAATATATTTTTGTCCTTAAAAGTCTCTTTCATCATGAAGTTTTTAGAAATGTTTTTAGCTAAAACAGTTCTAAAATCCATTAAATCTCTATAACTGTCAAGCATTACTTATGGTAGTGCTAACATGTATACTTTGGATCCTTATAAAAACTGGTTTGATTTCAACTAAGTAAAGAGCTCACTTAGCCCAAACATCAAATTAATAATCTTTGGAAAATTATTGGAAATAATATAAATGAAGGTCTGGAGGAGGTCATCTTGTTTGTGAGTCATTGTTCAATATCTCACACAATATTATAGAGTTAGGTGTCAATGCAATATTTAGATAAAAACTAAGATATATACATATCATAATATATAACTAAATAAAATATGGTATAGTCTATAATGGTTAAAGTATGTGGCGATTATCAATGTGATTGATAATCCAGTTGGATAGAAATATCCAGATAGACAATATACCTGCTAGTTGTTGTATAAAATGCTTGAAGTGGAAAACATTTTGTTTTTAACAACATATCCTTTGGTTTCTGGTTTTAAAGATGGACTAACATGGAAATTTGGCACTTACTTTCCGATTGTGTTGGGCAGCATCGTAAGTTGATTGTCATCTACCTTTAGAGTGGTTAGTTTTTTCAACAGCCCTAAAACGGAAGAAGACTTATTAATATTTAAAAGCAAATTTAGGACAGGAAATTCAAACGACATGAATTAGAAGGCTCACTTGTGACGAATGTCTTAACGTGAGTTGGCTGCACTCAGTAATATAAACATCCAAAATGTTATTTGAGGGTTGTCTAATTCTGACCTTCCAGTTGTCCAAAATTTACTTAATTCAGTGGGAGTTCAAGTACAGTTGAACAGACAAGTAAACAAAACAGAAGTCTCCATAGAAACCTGAGCCGATATTGTCCCCCCATCCCTTTTTTAAGTTGTGCAGAAAATGAACCAGAGAACATTTTTCAAGACATCTGTGATTTAATAACTTAAGTCATAAGTACTAATAACAAACATTTCTGTGTTAGAAATTGAAAACAAATTTGAACTAAAACCTAAAAATGAATGGAAATGGAGATATTATAAGCAATGGTCAAAATTCTAGGCTTGGAAACTGACCACATATGGCCTCATACTCTTTTTGTTACCAACTCTGCTTGACTTGGATCAACACAGCACAAAAACTTGCGATTTTTAACAAATTGAGTAAGAATTAAAGTGATAGCTATTTACCCTTTTCACTGTTCTGTTTGATGACTTACCTCATCCTAACCCTTGCTACTCACTCTTCAGGGTTTGTTACCCAAGAGACAATAAGTAATTAAAGAACAACTTCCTTGAATCAGCTAGATTCTAACTCATATACCAAACAGGGCTTAACTAGCTAATATCTAAGGGTATAAAGCATTAAAGTTAGTTTATTATGATAGCACAGCGGTAGGGCGTTCGCCTTACAAGCGGCCAACATGGCCGACCCGAGTTCGATTCCTCCGCCCCTCTCGGAGAGCCTGGCAAGCTACCGAGAGTATTCGATATGCCAGACACAGTAACAACAAAGTCTCCAATGGAGACGTTACTGGGCCCGCTCGAGCAAATCGACGATCAACGGGAGGGCATTTACCATTATTATTTGATGTTGGAAACAATGCAAAACTAGTCGGTCAATAACCAGTTTTGAAGAAAAATTGTTCTGATTTCTGTAATTTGTCTCATGATCAAATGGATTTGAAGTGCCAAGTTGGACAGATTTCTTTAATGAAGCTGTTAATGTGCTAATTAAGAGATCAATGTGACTTTCCAAAGTGTTGTTGTGTATACATGAGCACAGACTATTCTTGCATAGCCGTTGGTTGGTGACTGTGCTGCCGGAAGTATAGCAATAAATCATGCCCACCCACCTCAAGTATTTTGAGCATTTCTTAAAGGCGAAAAAGAGTAAATCACAAAGAAGTCTGAAATAAGCTGCTGCTGCACTTTAAATATAAACTATGATCAGTTGCATATTTGTCAGAAGTACTCAGTCTATTCTAAGGACAAGAAATGTTATTATTGTCAGATAACGGTTAAAAAATATCTATAATCTGGGGTATGGTGCCGCCAGTAGGTCAATCTATTCCCTCAGGGTGAGTGCATCAGCAGCCTGATGGTGCCTTCTGGCTTCTTGATACCCCAAAATTGCTGCTGTGCTTCTTGCTGGACCCCAACAACTTGGGATTAAGTTTCCCGAGAAATTAAACAGGCAAAAGTTAAGTATGTGGGAGTCGCTCCCATTAACCACCTCTGACTCAGCTATACAAGCTCATTTATTGGACTTGCTTCATAAATAAATATTGAAGGAGATCAAAATCAGGCCATTTAAGTGCACTAATGGCCATGATTCAGAGAGTCACAAATGAATCCTGGAAGAGAGCAACATGCCACAAAGATGTCTCCCCACTCTGAGATAGGCTGATTTCACCAGGGCACCTCAGAGCGGGGCAGGTGTCCCTCTGCCTGCCCTAAATGAACCCTGGCAGCTGTAAAACCTCACCACCACAATCACAGCTGACTCTCACAGGCTCATTCCAATCTCCCCATGCATGAGTGAATCCACTGGAACACTCAAGTATGTGGGACCAGTGACTGAAAACTCTAGGCTTCCCCCATCTCCCTGCCCTTCCAGTTCCCTGGCAGTCACACCCACAAACTGCCTTTAGGCACTATCTATTTACATTAACGTCCATGATTCAGAGACTCATGGATGAATCTCAGAAGAGAGCAGCACTCCACAGAGATGCCTCTGGACCACAGATATTTTAAAATTTTAGAATTCCAGGAATGTGCAGCAGCTTTTGCAGTTGTGCGACATCTCATACTATTCATAACAAGCAACACAAAATAAGTTATTTAGCATCTTCCTACAGGGCAGGCTTGGGTGGTGATGGGAAAATTCGAAATAATGGTGGTGGGAAAGTGTAATGGTGGTGGATTGGTGTTGAAATATTGAATGCAAACAATTACTGTGACCAACTTTATGAAAATAAAATTAAAAATTAAAAAAATACCTACAATCTGTGGATCTTAATATTTCAGTTCATGACCCCCCGGGGCAGAGGACAGTACTCAATGGACCAGTTACTTTCTGAAATCTGAACCCCCACTTCTGTATTCATTTCTATGCTAAGGGGGAATGTATCATTCAACTTCTCTAGAGTGCTTAAAAATATCCACATTGGCAAAACTAAAGAACTTCTTGTTCACATATGGGGAAAAGAAACAAGGAACCTGAATTCCAGATACGTTTTTAAAGATCAAATACCACTGATTGGTAGCAATCCTCGCCCCAAATGCCCACCTCTATCCCCGCTCCCCATCAATTCCATCAGCAAAATTAGAGGATGGATGAGAGTCACAAAATGTTTTGGCCTGGATGACTGCTGAGTACATACTAAGAAGTCAGGTTACAAAGCACTCTGGAAAGAATCATGTTCCCCAGATTTGTAAGACTGGTGAGAAAAACCTGAGGCAAGTTAGGGATGAAGGCTAGAGGGTGAGTTAACATCTTTCATTGAAACCCCAGATTCTGACTTTCATAATTGACAGAAGCACTATAGCTTTAACTTAGAAGGAAGCAAGTTAAAAAAAAGATCATCAATTTTGCTTGAGCGGGCCCAGTAACGTCTCCATTGGAGACTTTGTTGTTACTGTGTCTGGCATATCGAATACTCTCGGTAGCTTGCCGGGCTCTCCGAGAGGGGCGGAGGAATCGAACTCGGGTCGGCCATGTTGGCCGCTTGTAAGGCGAATGCTTTACACGCTGTGCTATCGATATTAGCCCTTAATTAATTGGAGTATTGTATGCAAGTATTTTATTCCATTCAGTAGGGTATCTTTATATTTCAACTTGATTTTCTTTTTCATGCAACTCCTTTTCAATTTGATTTAGGTCATTTGTTTATATTTATTTTTATATTTACCTCTGGAATCAAACAATTGAAGATACCTCTGAGACCCAAATCCTGGAGAGATTTCCTACGATATGCCAAACACAGTAACAACTGTCACAATGGAGATGTTACTGGGCCTGCTGGAGCAAATCGATGAACCACGGGAGGACAGTGACAGTGACAGTGATGTTATGTGGACAGTGACAGTGACAGTGATGTTATCTTGAGGTCTCTGATCCACTTTGAGTTAGATTAAGTAAGTGTTGTGAGATACAGTTCCAATTTCATTCTTTTTTTCTTAACCTGTGACTATCCAGTTTTCTCAGCACTATTTGTTTGAGGAGACTTTCATTATTTATAATATAGTTTAAAGTCAGGGAATGCAATACCTTTCCATATTCTTTTTTTTCCCTCAGGGTCATTTTGGATATTCAGGGTGTTTTACAAAAATTTTAGTAAAGTCATTCCAAGTTATTGGAGAGTGTCAGAATTTTAATGGGGATTGCACTGTATCTGTATAGTACTTTAGTTAAGATGATTATTATTATAATGTTCATTCTTCCAATCCATGAGCTTACAATACTTTTCTAATTTCTGATGACTCTTTTATTTCTTTCAATGGTGACTTACAATTTTATGCTGTAAAAGTTTTTCAAATACTTTGTTAACTTTATTTGTAGGTATTTGATGTTTTAGAAACTGCTGTGAATGAGATTTTTATTTTAAATTTCTTTTTTGTTTATTATTTGCATATAGAAATGCAACAGATTCTTGTAGCTTAATGATTTTTTTTGGAGCTTAATGTTTTCTATATTTGTTTATTGTTTCTAAGAGTTTTTTTATTTTAATTTAGGGTTTTCTGAGTAAATTATCATGTCACCTGTAAAATAGTGATTGTTTAACTTCTTTTCCATTTAAGTGCTTTTGATTTATTTTTTACCTGATTATTTTGGTGAGAACTTTCAAAACTATGTTCATTGAAAGTGTATGTCCTTGCTATGTGTCTGATTTCAGAGAAAGGGCTTTCAGTGTTTCACTGCTGAGTATGGCTTGTGTTTGCTGCAAAACATACAAAAACAGCCATTACTGTTTTGAGGCATGTTCCTTCTATAACAATTTTCTTGAGTTTTGTTTGGTTTTATTCTTGGATCGCACACAGTGGTGCTCAGACCTTTCTTTTGACTCTGTGTGCTCAGGATCACTCCTCATGTCACTCAAGGTATCACATTTGGTGCTGGAAATTGAACCTGGATGGATCAGATGCAAGGCAACTTTTTCCTGTGCTGTATTATCTCTCTGGTCCTTGTTGAGTTTTTTTTTTTTCAATCATGAATAGTTGTAGAATCTTGTCTAGTTCATTCTCTGTATTTGTTGAAGACATATGGTTTTTGTCTTTCCTTTTGCTGACATGGAAAATTACATTAATTGATGTGCATGTATTGAAACATCCTTGCATCCCAGGAGTGACTCCCACTTGACCATGCCATATGATCTTTTCGACATATTGTTGGACTCAGTTCACTGACATTTTGTTGCAGTTCCATGTTCATCAAGGAGAGCATTCTGTAATTTTAGATTTTAGTTATATCTCTGCTTTTGTTATTAGGGTAATGTTGGCTTAATAGAGGCTGTAGGAAGGATTTCCATTTCGTGAGTAGTTTGGAACAGTTTAAGGAATATGGCACTAAGCCATCTTTGATGTTTTGATAGAACTCAGTAGT